CAGTGTAACCTCAGAGCCAACCCTCAGGGTCTTCCTACAATGCTTTGTCCCTTGCCAGTGCCTCTATGCCTGATCCTAGATCTGACATCTGACCTGGCAGGACCTCCCCGCCCCAAGAGGGAACCAGAGCCACAGTCCCCTGGTGTGACTGAGCCAGTGTCCCAGTATTAGGTAGTATGCCACACAGCCAGGATGGTGTGAGTCCAAATCCCACCTCAGCACTTACTAATCGGGTATGTCAACTGTCAGGGCATCCCGGGGAGGGAGATGTCTCTGCTCCCCTGTCCTCCCCTGCTGATGAGGTCCTAGAAATTTGGCCCACCCCCCTCAGTATAGATCACAGTGTCTGTTTCTGCCTTCCTGTGTTTGCTGTAAACAAAAGTAAAATTCTCAGCATCTGAGATTCCTCAAAGTCCATCCGAAGGACATTTCCCTAGTCAGTAGCTCATACCTGTAATCACAGGCAAATTTTTTTTTTTTAAAGTTAATGAGAACCCCAGTCTCAAAGAACAAGCTGGGTATGATGGTGTGAGTCTATAATCAGAACTACACGGAAGACATAGGTAGGAGGATCACAGTCTAAAGCCTGGACACAAAAACAGGAGACCATATCCAGAAAAAAAAAATAAAAAAGCTAAAAGCAAAACAGGCTTGAGGAGTGGCTCAAGTGGTAGGCACAAGGCCCTGAATTCAATATCCAGTTACACACACATCCCTGCAAAAAGCTGTTGTCCCTAACAAAACACAATACAAAGGGCAATAGACCAGGGAGGGTTTGGATGGCTGGACTGATCCCCACGGGCTTGGACCTGACCAGCCCAGCGAGCTATGAGAACAAGGACACCTCTGACACTCAAACTCTTTTCATGTCACATTACTTCCCAGGTCAGGAAGCCACTGGACAAGTCCCCAAGAGTGGCTTGGGGTTACAAGCAAGTGGATGGCTCTTCCAACCAAGTCCCATGTCACCACGGAGGTGGACTCAGAGCCAGCTGCCCAAGGGCACCACGAGCCCAGTACCTGTGGTGCATGTGGCGCTGCAGGGTTCGTGGGATGAGAGCTTCCACCGGTACATGTCGGCTGGACTCACACCTTGCTTGCGCACCTTGGGCCTGGTCCTGGAAGGAGGACAAGGGGGGGGCCATGAAAGAGCTGGACACACGTTGGTAGGCTCCTGGGAGCATGTGTTTCCCTCAGCCACACTCCTGCTATGAGCACCAGGCAGAATCCCACCCTTAAGGACTGGGGCTCCAACCCGCTGGAACAGAATGGGGCCAAGCACCCACGAAGGCACATATTAGGGCTGAACAGAGATGGCTACTTTTCCTTCTCAGTAACTGAGGCCAAGCAGACTGTGTGGAAGTCTGATGCCCCCCCAGGGGTGCACTGAAGCATGTGGGCCTTACCAGTGTCCCAATTGCTCTCCCAACACATGCACACTTCTCACCGTACCTCCTCGTGTCGGCAACTGGATTCCTTCTTCCCTCCCCAAATGGAACCTCAGAAGGCACTTAGGTGCTGAGAATGTTCCAGAATTCTCTCCTGCCTCCCTGGGCAGGGATTCTGATTGAATGGGGACACTAGCCATTCAGTCCCCAATAAGCAAAATTAAAAAGCTCACCTGCAGGCAAAAGAATGGCCACGGCCCACATTGCAACTCAGGTCAGCTATGGCTGCCGGACCTGCTCAACAGGAAGAGGTACGGTGGGGCCCGGCCAGCCACCAGCTAGCTATGATTTTTGGCCGGAACTCAGGCAGCTGCAGCCAAGTATTGTTAGGACTGCTAGCTTCTTTGAAGCAGCCCTGTGCCTGGGCCCAGCCTCAGCATCCACTATGCAGGCTCATTTGGGACTCAGCAGGGGAAGAAGAGAGGGGGCTGTGTGTCTGCTCCCTCAGCCCAGGGCATCCGCTCTAAGACACAGACCCAAATGGAATGCTGTCCATGTGTAAGAAAAATGATCTTCTTTATCAAAGTATATGTCACCCTCTTAGATTACTTAAAAATTCCTCAGATTACCATCTTAGGTGACTGGCATGTTTAAAGGGTCCCTGCTTCTTCTGGATTCTTGTACAGCTCCATTGCCGGCCAAACTTTGTGCCCTAACTCATCTCCCAATTGAGGGAGATTGTGAACCTTTCACCTGGACAAATCCCAGGCAAGGGGCAGGTACGACTGTGTCAGGGATATAAGGAGGAGCCACTGTCAACCATTTTGTGCTCGCGTGTCAGCTCAGCTGGAGGGAGTACATGCTTGTACCCTTCTGATCAAAAGAAAATGCCTTGTCAAGATTTCCTCTGTCTCTTGTGTGTCTGTTTTCAGTACCGAGGGTCATTAATTCCAGCACATGGAGTCCTGCTACCCTCAGACCCAGAGGAGGAAAGACGGAGAGAGCTGGCCCAGCTAACAGCAGCTACTCCAAGCCTCAACTTCCCTTTTCCACTGGACACTGCAGCAGGTCACATGGCCCAACTCCACTTTCCTCGGGGTCCAGGGGGCTGACCAAATGCTGATACCCTTCATGGGACTTCACAAGGTCCCTTTCCTTGGGACCACCATCACTTCAGGGTTATGAGTTATTTTACATTCTAGAGCTTTCTTGCTCACTTGTGGTGGAAACATCTGTTTGGTAAGAACTGGGACTTTACTGTTTGTTAGTCAAGGATGAGAATTGCTCTGTCGTTTTGCTAGGATTGGCTTATGTTTCCCAGGAGGGTCCCATCTCCAGGCAGAGCTTTTGAAATGAATGTTGCCCTAATAACACACCACGCTCTGAGAACCCAGGAAACGATCTACCAGTGGGAGCTTCGGTAATGAGTTTACCGATGTGGCTTATGAAGTCTCAGAGGGAGGAGGGGAGAGACAGCAGGGAGGGAGGAGGAAGTAGGGAGGGAGTAGCTGGGAGCTGGGTCCCCTCCCATAGTGTGCAAACCAGGAGTCTGTTCCAGCCCTCACTCATGGTTCAGGGAAAAGGAGCTCTTCCCTCCTTCCTAGTTACAAATGAAAGGAAACTTTAAAATGGGAGCAGGTCAAAGACCCATCATCTCAGAACAAAGGATCCCTGGCAACCTGGAGTTTACAATGGGATCCACTTAGACCACCCACTTGGGGTGAGCAAATCCTCCCATGGGAGGAAGAACCCAGAAAACTGGGCCCTAATGTTTGATTCAGAAAACATGAGCTTTGCTGATTGGGTCCTCTACCCTCTTCCAACAGCTTAAACTCTCCCCAAGAACAAAAAGACAAAAAGGTCACAACCCATGCCCTCCACCCGCCCATGGAGAAGCTCCGCCATCTTTATCTAATTACACACTCCCAAGCCAGCAGGCAGCATGACTCATTCCTGACTCAAGAGAGAGCCACCAGGTTCAAAATAACCATTGGGGACTTTAAGCCCCAAAGGTATTTCTGCCTACCCACACTCCCGCCAGCACGTGTGGGGCGTGGGTCACAGCATATGCTGCTCTTGATCAAAACCCTGCATTTATTTGCACACCCGTGCTGTGCTTAACAGGTTCCCTTTGTGGAAGGAGCACGAAAATGTGAAACACCCCGGAAACCACCCCCCTTCCCTCCCCTCCATCTGGAAAGACCATGCTGCCCCTCAACTGCGCCAGGCTCCAATCGCCTGCCACTGCCTCTGGGTCCATGCCCGGTGCCTGGCAGGACACAGGCTCCTGAAATCCCCGAGAGGCAGAAGCTCTGAAGTGACCGTGTTTGTTTATAAATGAACCAGAAATTTCTCTCTTCCTTTCTTCCTCCCCACCCCCACCCCCATCAAGGCTTAAGGGAGGGATGTGCGCCTCTGTGTCTCAGACACTTGTTCCCCAAGTCGAGTCTAGTCATGGGCCCCTCCCTTGATTGTTTGAAGAGTTTCTGAGAAGATGAAAATAGCCCTTCCTTTCTGGGCTGCCCCTTTGATTTTGCCTGCTCCCTGAGCAGACACCATTTCCTGTGTTTGGACAACCCGCAGAGACAACGTGGCTATTTTGGCCTGGTAATTTCCCCCGGTGGCCTCCCTCAGCCCTTTATCTCCCCAAACCATCTTTGGTCCCCACCAGCATCATCCTTTGATGATAGCAGCCCGGCTAGAGGAGCAGTCGGCCTGCATCTCACAGAGTCGGAGCCTTTCTGAGTGCTGACAGCCTATTTTACTGACAGGGTCTGGGCTGAGGGGGTGGGGTAGGTTTGACTACATCAAGCAGGAGAGATGCTTTGAAATGTGGCTTGAGAATTCAGAAGCTTGTGCATGATTCTGGCCTAGGAAGCATTGTATATCTGAGCTGGCAAGCCTCTCACAATTCCCTCATGGAGAGATGGGGAAACTGAGGCCATGGTCCAAGCTGCCTTTCCACTGTACCACACAGCCACCTGCACATCCCGCATTGTAAGCTGAGTTAAAGAGTGGATAAACCTAGGCAGAGCACCAGATGAGCTGTCCACCTTCACTGCTTGGATCAAGGTTCCTAGAGGGTCCCTTCCTGACCTTGGAGGCTCAGTTTATTACTAGGACATTCTACAGCTTGAGCCCTGTTTCAGGCACAGATATACTGTCATCCCTGCCTGCCCCAGAAGGGGAGAGGCCCACACGGAAGATGCAGAAACAGGGCTGGAATCCCAGAGAGACACGAGTCACACTGCAGGTACCTTCTGACTCTGACCATCCTGCCCACCATCCATGACCCCTCAGGCACTCAAGACTTGTACCCCCAAAGCAGAGCCTGTCACTCCCTGCCACACACAGGACCCTAAAAATCAGGTAGAGACTGCAGACCCTGGAATCTTTGAGCATACCAGGGTCAGAGTGGGCAACCAACCTTGTGTAGCCCTGTGAGAAGAGAGAAGGAACCCCACCCAGAGCTCATCGGCCATATCCCATGTGTGTGCCTGGGTCTCTTGGGGTCTAGGACCTCAGAAGGCAGTTTGTGAGAGGAGGCACCCACCTGGGGCTCCTGGCTCATTTGGCTGCTCTTGGATCCTGGGGATGAGTAACAAGACCCAAACACCTGTACCTCAAGAATGACTCCAAATCTCCCATCAGCCCCAGTCCCCCAAGTCCCAAGGACTCCAACCTCAACCAGTCTTGGTTTGGGTTCAGCTTATGCTTGACTCTAAAGTCAAGGAGCTTGGTTGGGCTCCCAGAAAACAAAACAAAAGCCAGCAGGCTTATCCTGCCTCCAACATCCACCCACCACCAGAAGCCACAGAGTCGCTCAGCTATTTACACCGGCCTGACTGCCCACTTGGGCTTCTGGGGAAGGTGCTGGCACCTAGAAGAGTGGCCACTCTCAGCCGCAGGACTAGGGCCATCTGCTCCCACCCTACCCTGACCCACAGAGACTAAGCCCTCTGGCCCCTCCAGATCTTTCCCTGACAGTCCAGGTGGCCCCATTCCTGACTGTCCATGTGCTCCCAGCTATGGCTCTCCAGATGTCCCCAGCCTCACTGCCCAGGTGCCCCCACCCAAGGCTGCTCACTTGTCCTCAGCTGTGGCTGGGTCCTGGGGCTGGCACCTGATGGCCTGCCACAGGCCATTCTAACTGCAGCTCTAGCCCTATTCCTAATCCTGATTCCCAGGTCTGCCCACTAGGTGAGGAGCCCCTGGAGCCTGATCTTCCTTCTGGCTGGGGTCAGGATTGGTGCTCCATATTTGGAGAGCCACTTTGGGCATCCACCCCATGCCTAACTGCAATGTGTTCAATGGCTTTCCAGGCTTAGAGCCCAGGGATCCCAAATCCTCAGCTTCCATGAACTTGAGGTTGTCACTTACCCTCTCTGAGACCCCAGTAGCTTAATGCTAAAGGTGGCTGTGACGGTTACATGATCTGTGTGTATAATCTCTGGCTCGGGAGGCGTGCTCATAACTGTTAGCTTCCTGCCCTCAGTGTCAGCACCATGAACTGGAATGGGGCTGGGGAACACCTGGGCCCATGGACCTAACTTTCAAGGAGAACATGCTACAGTCCAGGCCTTTGACCTCATGCTCAGTCACAGGAGAGCTGATGGGAGGACCCTGGGAAGGAGTGGCTCTTTCCCACCTACCTCCAGGAACCCAGGCCTTTTGGCCAGACCCTCCCCCAGGCCACCGTAATGACCCCAAACAGAGCAGGGGAAGGACTTCCTACCGAGCCTTGTGAGTCCTGTTCCCCGCCAAGGTGGGGAGGCTGGCACTGGCGTTGGGGAAGGGGGCCTCAGAGGAGGAGTTGGTGACCCTGTCGCTGCTCAGCTCCAGGTAGGACCCATTGATCAGGTAAGCAGCAGTCTCCTCGTAGTCCACATAGAGGCTTTCAACTGGGGAGCTCCTGGGGTCGCCCTGGGCAAAGATGCTATTCATTGTCTCATTGAGGGCGAACTCCTTCGAGTCAGAGCCTGTGCCCAGGAGCTGGTCAGAGATGGTATTGGCTGTAAGGAACTCTTGGGAGGTAAAACGGGTGTCTACCTCTTGGTCATCTTTGTCTCCCGAAAGAGCTGCCCTGGTGGTGTTGTGATCTGCAAAGAGAGACAGGTGGTTCGATGTCAAGTAGCCATTGTTACGGGAATCTTGCCTGCTTGCCTTCTCTAGGAATCCTCTGTACTCTGTATAATAAATGAGTTATGTAACAGGGATGGCTCTGCAGGGTGAGGAAAACAGGAGGCTCCTGGGAAGTAGGGTTCTGCTCAACAGGACTCAGTTTGGCCAAGATTGTCAAGTGAAAGCATCAAGTAGCTAGACAATCTCTCATAGCGGGAAATCTGATGGCCCTGCAGGGGCTGGATAGGGAGCCCCCAAAGTCCACACCACCCAGAACCTCAGCATATGATCTGGTTCCTAAAAAGGGTCCTTGTAGATATAATTAATTAAGGATCTCGAGATGAAATCATCCTGCATCTAGGGCAGTCCCTAAATGACCGGTGTCCTTATAAGAAGACAGGACACACTGACACACAGATGCTGAGGAGCAGGCATGTAAAAACCCAGGCAGAGAAGAGAAGGATGCATTCCCAGCCATCAAGCCCCAGGACCTATGGGCCCAGTGCTCCCCTAGGGTGCAAGCTGCAGGGCTGACAGGCTGGGTTTGACTCCCAGCTCCTCAGGGTGGATAGGATGACTTGGTCAAGTCACTTCCTCTCTCTGAGTCCCATTGTCCTCTTGAGAGATTCCGATAACTGTAGCCAGCCATCTGTACCTGTGGGATCTACAATCTCAGATTTGGAAAACATTTGCATATGTACCGAACATGTACAGACTTTTTCTTTGTTTTTAGTTCCTAAACAATACAGCCAAGTATTTACATAGAACATACATTGTATCAAGTATGCTAAATCACCCTGGGTGGTTTCCAATACATGGAGAACTGCACAGGTTGCATGCATGCTACAGCACTTTATACCAGGGACTTCAGCATCTGAGAATTTTGGTATCCAAGAGGATCCTGGAACCAATCTCCTGCAGATACAGAGGGACAACTATATACCCAGAAGCATTCACACTGGGCCAGCCTATAGTGATTGTAAAAGTAATTGGCACCTCTCTTCTACCTCTTCTGCAAACATCAAAGGGGATGGAAGTCCCCTTACCCAAGGTCTCTGTCCCTGAGAAGCCTCCACTGCACTCCCACACCCATGTTCCCTTCTGGTTACCTCGGAAGCCCTTGCTCCTGGAGGACCCCTCACAGGCCCCACCACTGGCTGGCTCGCACACCTCGTTAGTCTCCTGGCCTCTACTCAGTCCCAGCTCCACCTCAGGGTCCTGGGAGCTGAACAGCCGGTTGTCCAGGCCCAGCCGCTCTACAGAAGTCTGGCCATAGAGCGAGCCGTTGTGCTGCACAAAGCCCAGCAGCCCGGTGTCATCCAGCTCCCGGCTCTCGGCGCTCTCGGAGGCAGGCTCGGAGAAGCTGTAGTAGATGGGCTGCAGGCGGTGTGCATGTGGCGGCTGCAGCAGCGTGTACTCGAAGGTGATGGAAGGGCTCTTGCCATTTTGGTTCCACACCTAGGGAAGGAGAAAAAGTGAGACCCTGGCCCCTTCCTCACTGTGTCCCACAACTTTGCCATGAGCCTCTCAGGACCAAGCTGCCCTGGCCACAGATGAGTTCCTCCTCCCAAAGAATCCCACTTGACCCAAGAATGTGGTATATCCAAACACTACACACCAAAGGGCTCACCAAGGGAGGCGCAGAGGGAGTGGTCCAGCCTGGGCACCCGGTAAGGGAGCTCACTGTATATAGAGAATTGTTTGGGTACTGGAGTCACTCAAACCCTGTTTGCATGTTAGGGTCATCATGGATCAGAAATCTAATGATTTACCCTCCCACTCTTCTCTTCCCAGAGCCCCAAGAGCAGCCAATGTGGGGGTGCAAAGACCCATCCCTGCCTCAATTCTGGACCACACTGGAGGTCCAGCTAACCACAGAGCCCCTGTGGGACAGCCAAGCTCTTAGGAGAGACCACAAGACAATGTGATCTCTCCCTGGAAGGGCTCCTGTATTACCTCCCTAGGAGACTCTGCAGAACCTTTGTGCAGACTCCCACTCTAAGTCCTAGAGAAATCCTTGGAAGCAGACTCTCTAAAATGGATTTGGGAGCATTTTGGGGTTTTAGGATCAGCTGGTCACAGGGCCACAAGGGCCTGCCCCAGTGGTGCATGGAGCAGCCACAAGACGGCAATAAATTTTGCCAGTGCCAATCTGGGAGAGGGGGAACACCAGTGATAGAAATGTACCACTAAGTCAACATCTCAAGGGTGTTAGGATTGGCTGCTGATAGGGGTAGAGCCAAGCTATAAGAGACTACAGAAGTCAACACACTAGAGAAAGGCAAAGAGAGGGCTAAGAGAAGACTCTCCACCAAATCACCCATTTAGGGCCAAGCCAGGAGGCCAGTGTGGTGGCCCATGAAGAAACAAGTATCCTACAGCTGGGGGACATAAAAGGCAGAAGGAAGAGAAGCAGAGGAGGCTGGCTTCTCATCTCTGCTGGGTCTATGAGGCCAAGAACAGTCAGATTGGGAGAGAGGGACCCTGGAACTTAGGGCATAAAGATGTAAATCAAGAGGCTGGAAAAATGTGAACTCTCAGATTGCCCTAAAACTTCTGGGCCTGAGAAAGGCATGCCTTCTCCTGGCGAAAGCTAAGGACCATCAAGGTGACACAGAGAGTTTCTCCTCCCCACTCTCCAATGCCCTCAGGACCCCAGCCTCCTCTCCTAACCAGACCAACAGCTCAGGTCAGATCAGGGAAGTCCTGAAAGAAGGGATATACCCTGTGGTCCTCCAAGACCAGTGCAGGGCTGCTGGGATTCATGCTGACCTGCTGCCACTGCAGCTCTTGGTGGATGGAACAAGTGGGGCTAAGACTGAGTGAAGGACAGTACTCCACCTGCTGTGGTGGGTGCAGGAATTTGTCCAAAGGCTGGACAACTCACTAGGTGACCACTTCTTTTGCAGGCCTGAAGGACGTTCTACTCAACAGAGAGAAAAGAAATATAATGGCCAAATGACACCAAAATCATATAGAGGGACAATGTCAAGTGACTTCAAAGGCCAGGGCTGGTGGCAAGAGGTGACATTAGTTCCAGATTCCCCAGCAGTCATGGAGATGACTGGGTCCTGAAATAACAAAGGCAGATGACAAAAATCGGCAGCAAGGCAGACTCAGTACCACGGTATCTCAGTATTACTGAGACTTATCTCAGTAAGCAGCGAGACAAGTGTGATAGCTAGGGGTCTGGCCAGCAGAGACCTGTGGACACAGCTAACAGAACAAAAGAGCCTCGTGGTGACAGATAGATGGGCTAGAAAAGGTCTGTGCAACCAAAAGAAATCAAGGGCAGAGGAGCAACAACCCTTTGCCCTGTTTCCTGAGCCAGTTTCCACACCAGTCTGTGAACGAGAAGATGACCAGTTCCCCAGAAAGAATCCACAGCAAGTGTATATGGCAATGACTCCCTCAGTCCTTCCCCTAATGGGCCCATAGCTGTTTGCTTGGTTTACTGTTCCTGGAGAGATGGGTAGGCAGGCCCAAGTTGTCACTGTTAATTGGAGACCCCAAGCATCATCACTGCTCCCATCACTGTGCAAGTGTTTGGGTGGTGAGCAGTAAAGCTGGAGGTGTGGCCAAAGTCTGGCTCACTGTGTGTCAGTGGGTCCACAGGCTCCCACATGCATAATGCCTTTAGCAGAACCCTCATATTGGCTCCTGGAGCTTTGCAATCGATCAGACTGTCATTGTGGATAGAGCTGAGTGAAAGCCATTGCCTCATCCAAGAGAGTAAGTCTAAGACAGTGTCATATCCTGAGAAGATCATGATGTCAGTGTCATGCTTTGTGGCCTAAAGGATGCAGGGTGAGGAGCTCATCATGCCCACAGTCAATTCCACAGTTCACCCTGACAATAACCAGGCAACCCCAACAAATCTGTCATCAGAGTCCAGTTGAGCAATGCACTCCAAACTGAGCAGTGACATGTCTGGTGGCTTTTCTAGAGCAGATCAGCATGGCCTTGGGTTGAGTGTATGTGACCAGTGGTCTCGAAAATAGGTTGTTTTTGATCCCTGTCAGGAGGAGGTCCAGAAGCAGCCTTCATCCACGTAGGATAAACAACAATCTGCATGAGTTGTGACCCAGGGTGCCACTAACTTCTTGCCCCAGGACACTACAGTTCCCTAGCCTTGGGACCCAGCACACAGCACAGTGTCAATGGGACCAGTTTGAAAGTGGGGGTGGGGGGACACAAACCCCCCTATGTGGGATAGGCAGTGGGTCCATCCTCTTGTCCTTAGCTCCCTGTTGGGTTCCTGATGAGCAAAGAAAGTGTTGGCCTAGAGCCTCCCACAAAGCCAGTCACAGAATGAGCTCCAGCAGTAATGATGAATGAATGAATGAATGAATGAATATGCAAGTGAGTGGATAAGAGAGTAGGTGGGTGGGTGAACAAAGGAATCCATTCACTTAAGTGAATGGATTAAAATCAGAGTGAATGAATGCGCGAGGAAGTGAGGAAGTGTCTGGCTGAAAGAGTAAGGCCAGCCAGGCCATGGTGATGCCGCCACACACACCAACAAGCCAGTCCCAGAGCCTGGGGCACACGCACCATGACATTCAGGCCCTGGTTGGTGGGCCCCTGCGCCACGATGTACTCAATACCGGTCTCGTACACGTCCATGGGCCGCCGGTACTTGACCACGGTGCCAGCAATGTTGAAGTTCTTAGGGCTGTCCACCTTGTAGTTACCGTTGAAGAAGTAGAAGCCAGCTTCATCTGCAAGAGCTGAAAGGGCAACGCTGCCTGGTCACATGGGCCAGACAGACCAGGAGGGAGGCAAGATGGAGGGACAGGGAGGAGTCAACACCACTGGCTCAGGGAGCCGCCAGCCCTACCCGCCCCCGCCCTTCCCCAAATGCCCTGAAGACAGGAAGCTCAATGTCATGAGGAATCAGACAGACACTCTGCCTGGGGCCAGCATGTGGCCCTGACCAGTGAAGGCTGAGGAGACACAAACACACTTTCCTATCAGCCTAAAATAAACAAGTACAGGCCAGTCTGGACGGCTGGAAGAGCTGGCAGGGACGCCTGGACCTGCTCTTCTGGCTGCCTCTAAAGGGCCAAGGGGCTCCAAGGTGATGAGCAAACACCACAGCCAAGTGGCTACTCTGCTCCAGGATGGTTGGCAGCCTGTGGACAGCAGGTGTGGGCCAGGCATTGGGCTGGGCTGGGCTGGGCAGTACAGCCTGGCTCAGCTACAGACCCACTGTGGAGCTTGGATCAGGTACCGCCTCAAACTCCCCATCTGGACATGAAGAAGTGACCTTGGTGCCTCATCCAGGGCCCAAAGTGAATGACACTACAGCCTGGCCTGACTGGTATAAGGCGCTGTCCACTGGTGCCAGCTGACTGGGCTCTGTCCTTTCAATGGGAGTGATGACATCCTGCAGCCTGCTGGCATGATTGTGCTGCCACCCATCAATCCAGCCACTCAGCCAGGCTGAGGGCTTACTGTGGAGGATTCAATCAGACCATAACATGGCCTGGGCACATTCTGTCACACTCTCCCTGAGGCAGCAGGAGGTGGACACTCTCAGGGAATCTCAGGTGAGAAGGAATAGGCAGCCCATTTCCCTGTCATCCTGGAGGCCAAATGATGGTCCTCTCTAGTGCTGTGGCAGATAAGCAGAGGCCCTCAGAGCCTCTGGGACTAGGGACGGGAGGGAGGAGGCAGACTCGGCACTGGGGGACACTCTGTCTTCCAAAGGGTGTCCTCAAAGCCAGTTCCAGGAACTGGCCCGCCAGAGGAGAGAGTTCAGCTTCCAAAGTTCCTGATGCAATCCGAACAGAGGAGCCGGGGAAATTAATTTATTATCAGACAGACGCAACAAGCATGACATATCTGCCTGAAAAATACCCTGAACGTAAAACGTCAGACACTATCATAAAGTCCAAGTTCTTCTGGGGCCTGGCTGTCCAGGCTCAGCTTTCAGGTATGTGCCCAAGGTTCAACTCAAGGCCTGTGTCCAAAACCTGTTTCCTGACAGTGAGGACCTTCCTTCCTGCGGCTTTCCCAGTGCTCCAAGGCTGCCCTTGGTATTTCCATGCGTCTGTTTCAAGAATGATTGCTTTGCAGTCAGCTCAGAGAACACGGCGTTTCCTGGCCTCCCCACAGCCCCAGCCAGCAAGCGACAGAGCAACTGGCCTGGCAAGAAGCCTGTTTCCCCACGCTCAGCCCACAGCAATCCCCGGGGTGGTGGGCCTGGGGCCAGCAGTGTGCAGACCTGCTGGGGCTGGGCTCTCTGATCCCCAAGACTACATGAAGGGGCAGACCCACCTAGAGGTCTGGGTAGGGGGATAAGAGAGCCTGAGACTGGGCTCCTAACCTGAACACCTTCAGCCTGGCTCCCCCATTTCTGGCATCCCCTAAAGAGGGCTTGGCTTTCATGCAGCCACCTGTGGTGAGGGGAGGGAGAGCAGGCCACAGGGAGCGCAGTCTGGGGATTGGGGCTGTACCCACATTGGAGAGCCATCCCTGATACGGCTCAGGCCCCAGTCCACCTTCCCAGGGCAAGGTCAAGTGCAGAGCAACTCAAAGGAGTCAGCACCTGCTGCCCTTGCACCTGGGCCTCAGACACCTCCTGGGTTGTACACATGGCATGTTGCCGGGTCAACACTCCAGCTTCACAGACAGTTGTTCCAAAAATTGTTACCAAGATGGGGCCTCGTTGTCTCTGCCACTGGGCAGTAATTCTAGAATCCCCAAGGTAGCAGCCCTGGTTTCCCAGGTCCTGCTTCCCACTGAAGCCTACGTTAGCTTCTCTGCCACTCACGAACTTGGACAGACCACCTACCTCCTCTCAGCTCTACCTATCATCTCCTAAGACTCACTCCTTGTACCCCACAGGAGCCCATCTCCAGCTCCCCCAACTTCTGCCTGGGCCTAGCTCTCTAGCAATGGGGAACTCATTACCAACAGCTGTGAGGACAAGGACTTTCTCCCAGGGTGATATAAGTTCCCAAAGACTTCCCGGCCCTGCCAAATTCCTACTATCATGGGGACCCTCACACAGCTGGCTGCAGCTCTGGCTCTGGGACAGTGCCAGTACCACCAGCCTGTCCCTCTCATCAAGGAAGAGACCAGGGTCAGCCATTCCTTTCCACCTGTAACCACTGCCCCCCAGACCCAGCCTACATACCCAGCACATCAGCCGACTTCTTCCTCTCTACAATCTGGATGTCTCGTGCACCGGCTGGAATGTGGGTCACCAGAGAGTAACCTGGAGGCACATGGATGTCTGTGAGCAAAGCCTTCAGCTGAGGTGACATCTCCAGGGAGGGTGAGACCCAGCAGGCAACCATCACCTTTCAAGTGGAAAATCACCCCTGGGTGACAGCTATAATCTCCTAAACTACCCAGCAGCCTGAGGGTTGTCCCACCCACAGGTGTGTGGGCTCCCAAGGGCTCTGAAGAAACACACCCTGTGCCTTCCTGGAGGCTGACCCTCCTCTTGGGCCCTATCCAGGTTCACCCTTCCTATGGAGGCCATGAGCACACCCCATCATCCCTGGCTGCCCCAGCCCCTTCTGGGGACACCTAAGAGACTAGGAACCTTAAATATGCTGGAATCCTGGGACTTCAGTCTTGCCCTGCCTTATCACCTGAGGGGCCTTGGGCTATTGCTGGGCCCTCAGGCCTCATTTTCCTCATCTATACACAAGGCACCTATTCTGGGCATTGGCACCAAGTGCCCAACCAGCACCCCATTGTCACATCATTACTGTTAAACTCCATCTTGTCAGATACCCCATTGGCTGCAAAGGCCCTCAGCATCCGAACGCATGTGTGAGAAAGCACAGGAGAAACACACACAGGATCAGGCCACTCCAAGAGGCCTTGCTGACGGGCCAGGGCTATGAGAACATTATCAGCTCTGAGCCTGTCATCCAGGCGCTGGTCAAGTGGGAAGGTAGCCACAAGGTAGCCACAGAGTCCTCCAAAAAAAAAAACACAGGGACCAAGAGTCTTGGGTGGCTGGGGAAGGGAGAAGTGCTGCCGGGCAGGGGTGGAGGGGCCCAGCTTGACCTAGGGGGAGCTAGCAAGCCCTAGAGCTTTTTATCCTGCTGGGTCAGGAAGGAGCTCTCAGAAACCGAAGGCTTTTTAGGGTTGGTGCTCCTGTTTTGGCTGCCTGTGGGAAGTAGCAGAGTCCACATGCAGCTGCCACCAGGGGCAAGCTACTCCTTCCTTCTCCCTGACCCCACCCTCATCTTATGGCCAGCAGCTCTGGTAAGTGTCTCACATTGGGCTCTTTGGGGGCAAGAGGGAGAGGCTCTGATTTGTAGTGTTGTCCCATTTCTGTGGTGTAAACTATCCCACCATGGTGGATGGCAAACTATTTACAGGGTGACCCTGGGCATGAAGCAGGGAAGAGACACAAGACAGTATACTGTATAGAGTATTTCTACCGTTAGGTAAAATAGTTACAGAGGCATAGAATTGGTTACTTTGTTTTAAATATCATTTATTTAAATGTAAGTTAATATACTTTAATTTTTTAAATTAGCAAGTAATTGACAATATGCCCAAGTATTTAACACTCACTTCCTATGGGCTCTAGCAACAGGAAACCTGGCCCTCAGGTTTCCTAGCTAGTAAGCACAGATATGTCAGGGCAGGTGCGTAGCTCAGTGAGTGGCTAGGACCACAGACCCAGGCTCCAGATTGCCCAGGTTCAGACCCAGCTCAGTCCTCGTGGCTGTGGGACCTTAGACTTTGCCCCTTGATTTATTGCTGCAATTTTGGGCAGCAGTAGTAAAACCTGCCTTTTAGCCATGTCACCAGATGTGAATGAGTTAAAACGGGCTGGCCTTGGCTCAGTGCCTGGGCTGGGAATCACCCAGCAGAATTAGCTAGAATCATTTTCACATCAGCCCCTGCTGTCTTGCAGGGAGCTCCACCAGGGCACAGCTCCTGGCTATAACCCACAGTACCTGGCACATCCTAGGTGCACTGAAAGAGATGCACATCTGACCACTGGCTCTCCATCCTATGCCCCAGGTCTGGCAGAAAGCTATACAAGCAGGTTTGTGGAAGGAGGGAAGGGACAGACAGACAGCTATAACTTTGCAGTGCTCTCCCATATCAAGGTCTCCAAAGAAAGAGCCTTTGCCCATTGCATTGGGTGAGACACTCAACGTGCCTAATTCATACCCCCGGGCAGGTGCCCAACACCTCCCTCTATCCTTCAGTCCAGCAGACCCCTCCCTCAGTCCTACATCCAAGCCCCACCTCTCCAGAACTCTGCCATGGGACCTCCCGGAACTCACACTAACTCATGTAGGAGCAGAAGCATCTTCTTGGCCTGTTGGACTTACCAGCGGCCCCAACAAGACTGGTTCTAGCCCAGACCCACCTGATCCCACTGAGGGACTTTGAGCAGGCAATGCCCACCTGGGCCTCAGCTTTCTTAGTTTCAAGCTGCTCTCTCTTCCCCAGTCTGGAGGTCATGATTGCCCATTCAATTCCTCACACATTTCTTAAGACCCAGCAATGTATTCTTTGAACCCTGAGTGTTAAGTGACATCCTTCCACACATATAAACGCCTGTCACCTGCACAGATGCTCAGCCTCCACAAGGGCCAGGCCAGAGTTGGACACAGAGACCAACAAGCACAGCTTTGAAGATGGGCACGTGCTCTGTGAGAAGGGGAGGCTATCTGGAGGGGAATCCTGGGACTGTGCCCCAGATGCCCAGAGCTGCCCAAGGATGCCTGGGAGGTGGGAGGGAGGGTCACACCCACCTTGGCTCCCAGATTCGCCCTTACCGAGGTGACTGTTACCCTTGCGGTAGTTGCCCGTAACATGGGTGCAGCTGCTCCCATCCCCCTGGCAGACGCCACACTTGTCCAGCGTGTGGGTGGAGAAAAGCACCCCGTCACAGCCGATGGGCTACAAGAAGCAAGGGGAAAGGCTGCTGGGAGGGCGCTGTGACCAGCCCAGGGCTGCCACTGCCTTGGGCGGGCAGGTGGGCAGCCAGCTAATAAGACCAGCCATACTTTTGCTACAATGTTTAACAACCTCACATTTTCCAGACACGCAAACCCCACGCAGGTCTGTGAGCTTGCAGGACGTGCCATCGCGGGCGGGCACCATGAGCTGCCGCTGGCCATCTACGGTGGTGCAATGCAGGTCACACGGCTTGCTGGAAATGTGGACGTAGTCATCTGGGGGATGAAGCAGAGGGTCTGAGGGTGGGGAGGATAAGTGGGATTCAAGGGATTTACCCTCCCTCTCCTGCTAAGACAGTGCCCTCCCCATGGCACAGATGGGGAAACTGAGGCTTACCCAGGCTCCATGAGTTCCAACCTCTTCCTCCTTGTGTCTGAGACTCCACAAGGGAGAGTCCCTCTCCCACAAGAGGTCTGAGCCAGCTCGATGTCTATGGGCAGCCAGTCGTTGACACACCAACCCCAGCACTTACACAGGGAGCGGTAAAGGGCAACTCATTTACACTGTTGCCCGAACAAATGCTCCCTCTCCCTCCCCTCCAGAACAGAGAGAGAGAGAGAGAGAGAGAGAGAGAGAGAGAGAGAAATGGCTGCTGTACTCCCCAGACCCCAGTGGGACCACGGCGAGTCTAGGATGGTTCCTGTCTAAGCCTGGAAGGTGGTAAGTGGGAGAATCCTGATCTCAGCAGGAAACACCCCCAAACTTCTACTGGGTAATGTCATGGGTCATGGGGATTGTCCTCTGGAGAAGTAGGGTCTGCAGCTGGCCACCATGACCTTTGACAAGACCCTACTCCTGGCCTCAGTTTCCCCACCTGCCCACCCGGGTGCTGGAGGGGCCACCCCGCCCTCTCTGCCCCTTGCAAGGCAGGTCCCAGGGCTGCAGGTACCAGGGTACAGGGGCTTCCACTGGTAGGCCCGCCCGTCGTAAATGCGGGAGTTGAAGGAGACGCACTGTTCCTCGCGGAAGCTCCTCCCATCCGGCGGACACTCCTGGGAAGGGGAAGGCAGAGAGGAAGGCTCCAGGAGGGCCCCATGAGGGCATTTTTGTCCGGGCTGAGCAGGAAACGGCTGTAGCTGGCTGCCCCTTGGGGGCTGCTGATGGCCTCTCATGTCATTGCTTGATCACTCTCACTGGCTGTCTCTCTCTTACTCTCACCTTCTCAGGAAGGGCAGCAACTGTCCCTCCAATGTGGCTGGCACCAACCCTCATTGAGCTCTGAACACACCCCTTCTATCTCTGCCACCCTGACCTCCTCCCCAGTAATATGGCAGAAAGCCAGGACACCTATGGCTCCACCTGCACTGCTCCTCCAGCCTTTGACAGATCCTGTCTGCGTGTGTGTGGATGTCACCAAAGTGCATAGTAGATGGCTATGTGTGGGGACTGAATCAGGAGGAGTGGCGACTTCATAAAAGAGGACCCCTCCACCTGGGCAGGGAAGGAGACTTGTCCAGGGCACCCAGCTTAGCCATGCTGGGACCAGAACTCAGCCAGGATCTGTGTCTCTCAGGAACTTGTGATGCCCATCAAATTGGCTGCCCTGTCCCAGGAGTGCACTGAGCAGGTGACGCCAGGACAAGCTGTAGCTACTTGCCTTCCTTCAAACCCTAGCACCCTGCATGTACGTGCACAAACACCAAGATGCACAAAGGCAAAGCAATGCCTTCCAGGCCCAGGCAAGCCCAGTGAGCCTGAGCCAGCAGCATCTCCACCATAGCGTCCATCCACACTCGGCAGGTGTTTGGGATCAGACTGACTTGACCCCATTAAGAGCAGCCCCTGCAACCAGGCCACAGTCAACGAGTCCTCCCCAGCCTCTGCCGCCTTGGTACCTGGCTGGGAACACCTGTGAGCAAGAGCGAGTTCATGGTAGGGGTGTGGGGGGAATGAGGGAGGCTGGAGAGGGAAAGGCCTCAAACCATAGCCCAACAGGACTGTCTAATAAGTAGAGACAGGGGGGCTTGGCAACTGCACTCTCTGTCCATGACCATGTGGTATGCAAATGTCACAGGCAGCCAGAGACCTCAGCCCTTGAGGATGCACTTGAGTCCATCCCATCCTGTGGACCCAACATGCAGCAGGCAGGACTCACAGAGGTCTGATGTCTGAACCAGGACATCAACCTGCTTCAGGCTCTCCCTGAAGTAGCAGGCCCAGGACAGAAGACAAGACCAAGGGACTCAGGGTGGACACCTGCCTCCAGAGAGGGTGGAAGGCAGGGTCAGGGTTGCAGCCAGAAGCCTTACCTGCACTCTGCAGAGCTGGTACCGCTTGGATGTGCCTGTGCAGGTCCTGTTGCCTGCTCCTGGGACCGACTTCCTTCTGGCAGGAAGATGAGGTACTGAGTGAGGACTGGAGCAGGAGCTTCAGGTCTGACACCTCTTCAGGGGTGGTCCGGGGCTGACCCCATGACCACTGGCTTCCAGAAGTGTCTCTGATCCCCCAGGATAGCATTTAATTTACCTCTATACTGCCAGCACCAGCACAGAGTCCCAGAGTCAATAATAGCAACAATCCCATGTACCACACATGGAGCCTGTGCGGACGTGCCAGCACACATGGTCTCACATGTGAAGTGGACTCCAGCATGCTCTCCATGCCATGGATGAGGAAACTGATGCTCAGAGAGGTTAAGTGACTTGCCCAAGGTCACACATCTAAGAAGTAGCAGAGGCAAGACTGACAGTGAAGGCTTTTTCTCCCATTGCCTGTTCCCCCTGCTCCATTCAGCTCAAGTCTCAGAAGAGAAGCTGACGGTGAGGGACAGGGCAGCGGGTCTGACCCCTCGATGGTAGAGCCTGAGAAACAGATCCTGTTTTCCTGTGAAAAGTCTCCCTGTTACCCTGGAGCATGGTGAGACCCAGGACACTACTGCCAGGAACCCATCAGGAGCCCTGTACCTGGTTGAAGCCAGGGGGAACATAGCCTGAGCTATACTGCAAGAAGCACCAGGCAGTGGGCCAGGCTGCCCCCACCCCCTGCCCTTGCCCACCCAGCTGCCCCTCCAAGCCACTCCTGGGGCCGCGCCAAACTCGCACCTCTGTTGCAGGCAGTGCCGCTCCTGCGATGTCACCCCACCCCCGCAGCTGCGGGAACACGCTGTCCACTTGGTCCACTCCCCCCACCAGTAGGCAGTGGCGTCAGCACCCCCCTCCAGGCTGTTGGACGTGGGGCTGTTGTCCTGGGCAAGAGGCCCCCAGACAGTTAGCAGAAGACTCCGACACCCCACAGGATGGCCTGCCCCCCGCCATATGCTAGGAAGCATTGCCAACACCTGAACAGGAGGAGGCAGCCCCCTGGAGGCCCTGCCCGCAGGGTGGCCCAGAAGCCTGGGTTCAGTTCTCCTGGGTGACCTGGAGGGATCTCTCTGGGTGCCGGGCCATGGTGCCCCTGAATTTAAGGTCTGAGCATCCTGGAGTCGGCAAGCTCCTGAGGCCATACCTCACTTTCTCCTGCACAGCTCAGGCCCCAACTGCATCTGCAGGACTCACTTCCCCCCTCCCATCCACACACCTTGCACCAGGCCTCTGCTGGGAAGGGAGGTACCGGGCCATCTTTGACCACTGTCCTGCCAGCTGATCCGGGGCTCTAGAGTGGTTGGAGCCCTAGTTCAGGGTCTGGGGGTAACTAGTTCTGTGAACACAGACCCTCCAAAGTCAGCTCTGGAGTGACCACAATATCTGGGTGAGGGGCTTGGGTGGGGGCCCTGGACAACCACACTCCACTCACCGAGGCTTGGGTAGATGCTGCACCCCCAGCCACAACTGCCATGGCCAGCAAAGACCAGGCCCAGCGTGAATGCTGCTGTCCACCATCCATCCTAGGAAGAAAACCATGGTCACTACCAGGCCAGGCCCAGTTTTGGGGACAAACCCTCAAGATTCACCCAGTGCCCTAGATGGTGAGGTTATCTGTAGTCAGGTGGTACTGGCTGACTGGCAGACCCTGCTGGGTAGGACTGGGCCATCATATAGGCTCAGTGAAAGGAGCTCAGAGGGCGATTAGTGATGCCTGTCTGGGCTTAGGCACAGAGAGGGGGGTGTGTGCCAAGTCCGGGCCACCTTGATCTGAGGGTTTCTGCTGTGCTTTGCTGTTGAACACCCAATCTTCCTGGAGAATGGTTGTGAAGACCAGGAACAGCTGAGGGGCTGGAGGCCTAGGCTGAGAGACAGATCATCAGTGAGAAGAGGAACAAGGAGAGCTCGATCCATCACCCTTGAGGAGCTGCAGCCTCACCTTCTGAGAGGAGCATCCTCACGGCACCTTGTGCAGCAACCTGGCATTCAGGTGAGGCACAGCCCAAGTGCTTACACCCCTCCCCTCTGTGAGAAGAAGGGACTGGGGGAGGGAGAGGAGGCACAGCCTGTGCCACTGTGTAAGCAGCCCAGGGCCACATGGCTGACCCGTCTCAACACATCAGCACCTCTAGCCCAAACACCTGACAGGGGTCCAAGTGAGTCAAATCAAAGGGAGCTTCCGGCACCCTAACTCTCAGCCCTGCCTCACCTGATTTGCAGTGTGGATTCTGCCCTACAAGGGAAGACCAAACTAGTGGCCTCGGTCCAAGGTTTACCTCAGATAACTGACACTTGCCAGTGAGTTAAGAGAAGGGGTTTTCAGAAACCACAAGTCCAGAGCTCAGAGAGGAAAGATAGCATCCAAAGTTACACAGCAAGGCAGCCAACTAGTCCCCAGACACCAAAGCAAACTCAGGGACTCATCCCCACACCAGCTAACTCCAGGGGGAGGAAGTCTGGAGACCGGTGCTCCTACAGCCCCTAAAGCAACTCCAGAGCTGCCCCTCTCCCTCCCTTCCTCCCCAGTCTGGGTCAGCACCTGCAGGTAGGTTGGAACTACACCTGTGCCGGTGTTCCCCAGGCAGTGCACACCCTGAGCTGGGAACCACAGTCCCGTACCCCCAACTGCCCACAGCTACTCCAGACCAACTGACTGTCCCCCCCCGCCCAGGTCCTGCACCCGCTGCCTCACACCAGCATACAGCCATTGGTTCACAGGAGCCCCAGCCCCTGCCCACTGGCTGAGACAGGTGCTGAGCCCGTCTCGCACTTGGTTTTCATTAAGTCTCCCAGACACCACTGGCTTCTGGCCAGGTCTAGCTCACGCGGGATCCATCCCTCCCTAGGGTCCAAAAACGCGAGCGGCCAGCAGAAGGAGTCTGCAGAACAGGCAGCAACTTCAGGGGGCCGAGGCTGGAGCATCAGGACCACCCTGGACTGTGCTCTGCAGGTCTGCCCCAATCCCCCCCGCCCCACCCTTCTCTGTGCGTAAATGGCTCCCCATGGGTGCTGGGGGGATGTTCTACCTTCAGCCCATTCTGGGCAGTTGACTGGCCCGGGGTGGGCTGCATCTCCCACCTCTTGGAGGCTGGAATATGATCAGGAACAGGGACATGGTGGCTTACCTGGCCCAGGGTCAGCAGGTTGTCCTCCGGAGAAAAGGGTGTGAGCTAAGGGCAGACTCCAGGTGTGCCTTCAGGGAGGCGCTGGTGCAGAGACGTGTGGTTCTGCCTCTCTCCAGTCCTGCCTCCCTGGCCACCTCCCTCTCCCACTTCAAAGAGCATCCAAGGGAGGGGGTTCCCGGGAGGGGCGCGCAGCGCAGCCCAGTGGCGGCTCTGTGGCCACGGCTGCCTTTATAGCTGTCAGGCAGACGGGGAGGAACTCACACTTCCATCCCACCGGGCTGCTTCCCCGCCCGCCGCCGCCGCCGGCCGGCCTGGCGCACACTTTAACCCGCTCTGCTCCTCTGGAGCCCAGCCAGCCCAGCCCAGCTGCCTGCTGGCTGCTGCCTCAGCGGCCCAGAAGCAGTGAGCAAGAGGCCAGCCTACCCAGGTCCAGAGTGGGGACCACATGTCGGGTGTCCAGACATATGGAGCAGACATTAGCCTGAGGTCACAGGGAAGGTTGGCTATAGCAAAGCTGAGTCCCTGTCCTGCCTGTTCAACTTCTGCCTCCAGAAGGGCCCAGCCTTGCCACTCTGTGGATGGAACTGGGAGGCTTGAGGTATGCAGACTTGTAGCTCCTGTTCACAGAGGGGCCTACACCCAGGCCACCCAGCCAGCCTCAGAAAGGCCTTCCTCAGAAGCAGTGGTCTAAATAGTTGATGGACCAACTGGGACCCAAGGGCTCCCAGAAGGGGTCAGATGCACCCCGGCCTGCCGACAGACAACTAGAACAGTCAGTGTGGGGAGAGGCGCAGGAAACTCTGCAGATGTTCGGCACAGGCTTGGCCAGGCCCTACGCCAGCTGGGCAGCCCCTGGCAGGCAGGCCTGGGCTCCAGGACTCTGTTTCTGTTAAGCCAAAGCACAGAGGGGCTCAGGGCAGGCAGCAGCTCGAGCCCTGCTGGGTTAGCCTGGCAGACCCTGGATGGCCAGGCACCTGTCCTGGCACACCAGGTTCTTTCGAGGCCCCCATGCTATAAGAGCGGCACCTCCGAAGGGGAGGTGACTTCATGAGGTCATCTGAGCCATATCATCCATGCCCCTCACTCCATGCTGAAGATGTCATTGGCCCACCCGACCTCGTTCTTCTCCCCCCCACCCCTCCACTGCTGAATGGGAAAGTTCTGCCCTGTGTTTGGCCACTTGCCAGAAAGGTCAGGAAAGAGCAACCAGTAGTAATAGTGAAAATCAGGCTGGATCTTGGTGCTGAGTTCACGGCAGCTGCAGAGACTGTGCTGTCCGTGTATTTGCTATTCCCATTTTACAGGTGGGGAACTGAGGCTCCAAGACTTTGAGGGACCTGCCTTTTTAGCATACCCTCTCATCTTTTTCACCTCACCCTCTCCCTCTGCTGGGTTCTTTGTAGGTGCTGGTTCTTCCTCCGCAGACCTGGGAAATCAGGTTTTACTTATTCCATTTCCTGTACATCTGCTGGGATGTTCAGTGGCTGCTCCCAGCATGGCCCACACGGCCCACACTGCCCCCTGGGGTCGGCATGCTGAAGCACAGCCATGCAGGAACCTGCCACGCAGCACTGCACACTAGGCACGTACACACATGCAAGCACGTGCACATACATGCACACGCACGCACAGTCTCCTTTGCAGACACAGGACAGCTTGCACTTGCTCTGGAAGCCTCTGCCACCCTGCTCCCCTCCCCTCTGACCGACTGCCAAAACTTGCACACCTTGGCACAGTCCCCAAACTCTCCTGGCACTTCTGGCTCCTACATCCACCAGTGCCAGAGTGACTAATGATTTCCCTTGGGAGGGACCCTGCAGCCGACCAACACCCCACCCCAGCATCTTCTCTTGGCCTGATGGGACAGCACATTCTACAGTCTGCCACAGGGAAACAGGCCTGTGGGACCATCACCTTCTGGCTTGGTGACTTCCACAGGTCTGCGACCATTCAGGCCCAGGCACCCTGGGCTAGGCATGCCTCCACCTCAGCCCTTCCCCAACCTCCAGCAGCCCAAGATTTGAGGGTCCCAGGCAGCCATGACCACTGGCTACCCCAGTGGCCTGGGTATTTCAGAGAGAGGCATTCAAAGTCCCACCTCCCGGAACAGGTTTGCATTGTCACCTCCCAGACCCCTCTCTCTTCCAACAATAGCTGCTGCTTTCTGTCCCCAGAGAAGTCCCAGGCACCTGTGAGGGTGAAGGCTTACTCTTCAAGCGACTTTGTGCCCAAGAAGTATGTTGTTACATAGCAAATAAAAAACACCATGATGGGTTAAGAGAGATGGTATTTGGTTAAGGAGAAAGCTTGTGTTGCCTTTTAAACAGGGCAATTTGCAATTTGTGCTGCGCCCCACAAATTACTTGCCCACCCTGCCAGGGGAATCACTGTGTCCCGAGCCCCTTCCCTCCATGATTCAAGCACCTGGGGCTGTGGGAAGCTTGTAGTCACTGAAGGCGCTAATGGCTCCAGGCCACCTATCTGGCTCCTGTGTGTCCCCCCCTTAGACCCTCCCCCAGTACCCATCTCCACATGCTCCAGCCCCCAAGATGCTCTTCTGAGGCTGCTTCTTCTAGAAAGCCCCCAGGCAGTTCTTTGTTTGGCTGGAATGGTCTTCCTGACCTATGACTGGTACTCATCCAGTGGATCAAACCCAATGGCTGGAGACATTCCTGGGTGGCTTCCTCCTCCCCCATTGGAGCCTGTGGAGGGAGGGAGCTGCAAGACCCCTGGGTGACTAGCAGGTAACAGGCAGCACATCCTGTGCTAGACCACAGAACAGACCTCCCAATTCCTCCACTTCTTTCTCAGCTGGGAGCATGTCTTTTCTGTTCGCACTGCATGAAGATCAAATTGAAGGGACTCAGGCCTGTAGATAGCTGAGACTGCTCAGGCCACTGTGCTCTGAGACTCCACATATCCACATACAGGTTCCTTGGTCCGCAGATCTGGAGCAAGGATAGATGAAGGAGTAGGAGCCCTGGTGTAGCTGGAAGTGAGCTGTGGTCAGCACTCCAGGGGAATGAAACCGATCAGTTGGACTTGGGCCAGTGCTGGTGAAGGGACAGGAGCTGGTGGGTGCTGCATGTCCTCTAGTCCTGGGATTTCACAGCCTGCCCAGAGTCTCACAGAGCCAGCTGTCTGGAAGGTGTGGGAGCAGCAGCAAAAGCTAATGACATCCCAGCAGACCTTCAACGGCCAGGAGGGCTCCCTGCCCGTGGGGTGCCCAGTGTTGTCTCCACCAGCCACTCCTCTGCCACCAGTCCTCTAGCCAGCAGCTCAGCAGACTGGCATGCAAATTCCTGGGTCCACAGAAGAAATGGGGCTGTGGTTGCTGCTGACCTGAGTGTGGCTGTCCCCTCTTGGCTGTACTCAGTGAATGGCACTTGCCAGGCAGCATCCAGCAGTAGGGGAGCAGATAACAGCAAGGATTGGGCAATTTGAGGAATCCCAAGTTCAAATCCCAGCCCTGTCCCAGCATCCCAGTCCAGCAGGCAGCCAATCACCTCTCAGAGGGTGAGAAGTACCTGATTTTCAGAACACAGCACTTACTAGAGGATGGGCCCTGATCTAAGCCCCTCACTTCTGTGTACCTATCAGGGCTCACAGCAATCCTGAAGGCAGGTACATAGGAGCACCTTTGGCAGATAAAGAAACTGAGGCTAACAGGGCCTAAGGGCATGCCGAAGTCCGGGTGTCAGGAAGTGATGGAACCTCTGTCTGGCCCACCTGGCAGGTGTTCAGAAACTGGGGGATAGGAGGGAGCTGCTAATTTTTGGCCAGCAGCTGAAGACAACATCTGATTGTTGACCACAATCCCAGATGCTGGTATACATAGCGCTGCATGCAGAGGCAGAACCTGAGCAGCCAGCCAGGTGTGGGGCCCCAAGAAAAGAGCTAGAGGGCATCAAAACCTGCTCCTCTCCTCCAAGTGCAGGTGGGTCCCAGTGGACCCCATACAAAAGCCAGGGTATAAGGGCCTCTGTGCTCTGGGGTGACCTACAGCTGTGGGCTGGGTGTTCAAAACTTGGAGGATGCAAATGCAGCAGCTGGCCCAGCTATCCTAGGCTGGGCAGACAGACAGCTGTCCTGGGGGCGGGAGCTGCATGGCATACCAGGCATTTCAGCACCTCTATAAAACCACTGCTCCCGTGGCTGAAGGGGCCGAGGGAAAGGGGGAACAGACAGGTCAGCCCTCATGCCCCATTCTGTGGCCCCAGAACTGACCCCAGCAGGGTCTCATTGAGACCAGCGCCACCTGCTGGGCAGAAGGGGGATGCTGCCTGGGACCCTTGGGAACTGAGACAAGTGGTTTCAAGAGCCGGGTCTGACCAGTGAGCCAGGGACATGTGGGTACAGAGGAGAGCGAGACAGCTCTAACCCTCCCAGGCACGCAGGGAGAAGGGGGAAGTGCTGGGACAAGAGAGAGTCAGATATACATGGGTGACCTCAACCAGATCCCTGCTCTTCTTTGGGCCTCAGTCTCTACCCCTGTAAAATGGCAAGCTTGCACCTGCTGGTTGCAAAGAGGGACAAGCAGGACACTGTATGAAGAGTCCTTGGCATGTGGCCAGTGCTGAACAGACATCCATTGTGGATAATCCATTGTGGATAAGGCGTTTCAAGATCCACATACTCAGTGCCATGGGGCTGGGAGAAGGGAGTCACCATGTCCCGGGGGTCAGGGAAGGCTGAAGCTACAGTGTGAATGGAACAAGCATCCTCAATAGAGACTAAGAGTGTGGGGGGATGTGCAGCTGTGGGTGTCTGTTGGGCTGAAGCCTGGATCTTTGGGGGAGCTGGCAGGTGGGAGCATCAAAGGTGGGAGGGCCAAGAGAGCCAACTCACGTCTCTGCTGGCCCAGAGCCTGCCCAGGTGGAGTTGGTTCCTGGCATGGGCCCATCCTGGCTCCCCTCCCCACACCTCTACCCCCAGAGCAGTCACCTGTCCTTTCCACTCTACCTCCCTCAGCCTCTAGGCAAACTGCTTCCCCTGCTTCAGGGAGAACCGAGGGTCATTTCAGTCCTGTTCAGAGCTGGACGCCTTCTCCACAGTCAGCTGGTCTGCGTCCAGGCAGCCAGGCTCGGACGGGAGCCATATCCAGCTGCCTCCCACCTCTACTCTGCGCCCCCACAGAGGATGGCTCATGGTCCAGCCTTTGTGCACAGGCTCCGCAGCTACCCCAGGCCCAGCCACCTGCCTCCTTGCTTTGTGTCAGCCCCTCCTCGGCCCCCTTCCTCCTTAATCGCTGCAACACATGTGCAGTTCCACCTCCCCCTTCTCTTTCTCCCAAGCTCACAGCCTGGCCCCGGAGTTCACAGCTGCAAAACACACAGGCACTCACGCACAAAACCAACTGTGGAATGTTTTCCTGCTTCTGCACGGGGTTTATGGCTCCAGAGAGCACTCTTCTCGCCACCTCTCTTAGCACCTGACATGCAGAATATTTCCTCTCCACCCTTTCCCACTCCTGCTGGGGGCCCAGGCTGGGGCTGAGCAGGAGCTGAGGGCCAGAGAGGTGAGAAGCAAGGATGATCACAGCCCAGCCCGAAGACGATGAGTCACGGGTTATCGTACGCCTCCCACCCAGCTCGGCGTACACAGCAGGGTCTGGATTTCCCATTCGGACAGGGAACTGGGCTCCTAAGAGGCCAGACTAAAACTGGCCCTGCCTCCTTGGATTTTCATTCATTCTTTTAACAAAGTCATTCATTCACCTGGTATTTGTTGAAGACCCACAAAGTGCCAGGCTTGAACGTGGGAGGTTATGATAAGGAGTTCGCTAGCCAGACCCCTGCCCCAGACCAGGGTGTGGGGGGCACAGCCCAAGCAAGCCAAGCCAACACTAGTGTCTCTGCCACAGAGTAGCAGTTGCTAGGATGAGAAGCAGATAGCGGCAGGCCCAGAAGCCCCTCTGTTGCTTTGGGGGTGCTGTCAATCACAGAAGCCCCTCCTACACTCTGTCCAGGCTACATATGAGCAGGAGTGCTGTCCTGTGGTGGCGGGGGGTGGGGTGGGGGCAGAGGGGTGGGAGAAGTCACACATCTGAGAGTGGAGGCTATGGATGGCCTGGTGGTCTCGGTGGCACTTGGACTTCCCCCCAAGGGCTATGGGCCTTTTGAAAGGGTCTTAAGCAGAAGAATGACATGAGCAGGTGTCTCCAATGGGAAGAAGAAATGGACTCCAGCCGACTTCAGACAAGAAAGAGGCCACTGGAAAGCAGTAGGGAGGCTGGCAGATAGCAGGATAGGAAGGGAATCCAGGCCTCACTGGTCAGACCTGGTAGCCTGCCCTGGAGGTGCATCAGCACTCCTGGGCCACTAGCCTGCTGTCCTTTTACCCCAGGTTCCAGTTCCCAAGGGAAGGGAAGTGAGGAAGAGCCATTTAGGGAATATGACCCATCAAGTAGCACAAATGGATCTCACAGGCATCACATAGGTGAAGTGAAAGAAGCCCAGCCCAAAAAAGCACACGCTGCGTGATCCATTGTCAAGTTCTCGAACAAAGTCAGGCCCAGGCAGAAATAGTAACAGTGGCTGCCTTTCCTGGAGGGCTCAAGGGAGCATCCTAGGGAGCCAGAAGTAGACCCTATGGGGGCTGCACAGATATACCCACCTGTCAGATCCTATCAGACTACAGGTTTTAAGCCAGTGTGTTTGTCTTATGTGAATTCTATCATAGTTACAGAATAAAATGGAAGGAAATGCTGTTTTGCCAACCGCAAATCAATCAGTCAATCCATGGAATGAGTCTGCCTGGGAAGCTCAGACCACACACCCATCATTCCCTGGCTGAGCGATGAGGGGGCCCCCTGCCAGATGGTTCCCCCAAGACCTCTTACAACAAGAGAAGGTAATTTCCTGCAGGCCAGCCAAGGAGCTGTTGTCAATAGAAGAGAGAAGGAAAGCTAAGAGGGCAAGGACCAGTCTTGTGCTTGGAAGGCAAATGGAGACGGTCCAAAGGTAGAAGGTTCTGGCCACCTAAGTTAAGATGTGAAACAATACAATCAAGCCGAGAAGCCTGTGGGCAAACAAGCTAAGGAGAAGAATGTGTGGGCTGAAGCTTATTTACAAGGTCCTTTGAGCCATCAGAATTGGCTAAACTTGGGGTTCTCTCACCTCCTGCCACCCATGGAGGTGTGACCCAAGCAGCAGCACCCACAAGTCTACTCGTCTGGGGAGAAGGCCGGGGTGGAAAATGGCTCTAAGTCAGGGATTGCATTCATAAGGAGTCTCCCCCGAGGTTGCTGCCTCAGAGAAGAGAAAATGGCCTCCTTGAATGAACTCCTCTGGCATCACAAAAAAAAAAAAAATCAGAGACAAGTGCTGACCACGTGGTTCATCAGCTGTTGGGCCCCCTCCATGTGTTGCTGCACACATGCCTGCTCGGGGCACTTGAGCCCTCCTCGTGGGCACTGGCACAGCTGTGTCAGAGCCTGCCGAAGGGAGCAGCCTTTCTCCCTCATAGGTCTCCTGGGGACCCAGGAGGCCTACATCCACCCTTCTCTACAGCCAGTACCTTCCTCCCAGCCCATGGGGACACTCGTGGCCAAACTGCTCCTGCCCACCCTCAGCAGCCTGGCCTTCCTCCCCACAGTCAGCATCGCTGCCAAGAGGCGGTTCCACGTGGAGGCCATGGTCTACCTCTTCACCATGTTCTTTGTGGCGGTAAGTGTGGGGCCTAGGAGGAAGACCCAGCAGGGACGGTGTCTCTGCTACTGTCCTGTGCTGGGCGATAAAGAGACATGATTTAGAAACAAAAGAAAGCACTCAGGACGGGGTTCTGGAGACTGCAGAGAGAAGATTCCGGGAGGCCCTCCCTCTCTCTGCACCTCAGTTTCCCTATCTGTGCCAGGAAATTTTCAGGAATGACTGCCACATGTGAGTGAAGCCAAAGCCACAATGGCCATATGTCAGTCAACTGAGGACAAGACTTCCAGGTTGCTCATTTTGTTTTGGCTGCTGGCTTCAGCCTCCCTCACACCCACCCCTCTCCCAGCTCTGCCCTCAGCACTACTGAGGGGAAGGATGGGACTTAGGAAGGGGCTAGCATGTTTGGGGAATGTGAAGGGCTCGGGTGAGCCTGACTCCAGAACTCTGAGCTGCTCCACTGAGGAAGGCCGGCTCCCTGCTGCCTTCCCTCTCTCCTCCTTTCATGGTACCTGTCTCTCTCTGGGTCCTTCTTCTTCTTTCTATTTATATATCTGGCTGACAGGCTCTCAGCTCACTCTTCCTGCTCCCTTCCGTTTCCAGGTAACTGTCATAGGGTGCTCTCTCCATCTTTCAGTGGAGTGTCTGTACTGGGCAGCTTTTTTGAGGGCTGTATCTCTAGGCCCTCTGCCTCTCCTCACCCCTCCCCCATAGGTCTTTTCCCTTAGTTTCTCTCACTGATTCCATGTTTTTCTTTCTCTGCACCTCTCTCGTTTTTCTTTCTATGTTTATGGACTGGCGCTCTTGATTTCTGGAACTGTGTCCTCACGGAATTCGCTCTCATCCTCAATCCCCTGGCCTTTACTTCTCCAGGTCTTTTCCCCGGCCTTCCACGTGTCCCTTTCTGGCTGTGTCTATCAGTCCCCCCAGCTTGCTGCTATCTATCTCTGTCTCTAACCTATTATCTGTCTATCTATCTATCTAATAATTGGTCTACCTAATCAGCCATCTGTTTGTCACCTATCTACCTATCATCTATCTTATCAATCATCTCTGTCATCTCTCTCTACCCATCCATCTACCCATCTATCATCTCTCTTAGTGCCCTCTCACCTCCTTGGGATTGCTCTGAGCTCCCTCCCACTACTGGACTCCCACCAGGAGCCCCCATCTCTCTCTCTCTCCCATGGTCTTTCTTCTTCCTTTTCCGTCAGACCCATCTTTCACCAACATGCTCTGGTATGACACATATGCTGGGGAGGCACAAGTCCACCAGCCTCCCTTTCAGGGCAGAGTTTGACTTGTGAAAAATGGCACCTGACTCCAGGCTAGCCTCTCCCCAGCAGGGGATCCTCAGTGAACAAGAAAGCCAAAGCATGTGTGTGCACACAAGCAGTCCTGAGCAAGTGAGGCCTGTGAGCATATGCACATGTTTGCAGATGTGTTCACACATTAGCCAGCACCCTAAGTTGATCAAGTCCAATTTTGATGGCAGCAGAAGCCACAAGTTCTCATGGGCTGTGGGGTTGGTATGGAGTGGACACATATCCCCCTCCGAGTTATGGTGCTTCTGTGGGTAATAGTGACCTGGGACAAGCCAGGAACCAGATGCTCTAAGGCTCTGAGTCCACCTTGAGGTGGGGAAGACATCAGCTCCAATGACAAGAAGCCATAAGCCAGCGTCCGCGGGGGCGGGATTTGGGGGGGACTGTGCTTGTGCTCTGCACACACAGTGTCTTATTTGTCTCTGTACCTCCCGTGAGATTAGCATTGTGATTCCCATTTGACAGAAGAAGAAACTGCTCCCAGAGAGGCTGAGCCCCGGGCATTCACCATGGGCACAAAACGGTGTGGAGCTGCCGGTTCGCCCAAAGCACTGTGCCGTGTGTCCCTTCATTTGCTCCTCATGGAACCCCAGTCCCAGCCAGGGTCTCTTATTGGCAGATGAGACATCAAAGTCCATTGCAGGGATGGGATGTCATTGCAGATGTCAGGGCCTCAGGGCTAGAAACGCTAGAATCTCATCTCCAAAGCCCATGTTAGGCCCAGCTCAGCAAACCTCACCCCTAAGCCAGGACACCCCTCCCTTTCCTGGGCCTGGGCTGGTCCACAGCTGCTTCTGTGGCTGGCCTCAGAGGCCCACCCAGCCCCACCCTGCCCCACCCAGAGTGACAGGGGCAGCTGCCTCCTGGGACAAATGTCCTCTAGCAGCCAAGCACAATTGTGTACCTCCCACAGCTCTGGCTCACTCATGGCTCCTGCTGTGTCCCAACCAGGACCCTCCATGACACTGAGCATTTCTGCGTGGGACACTGTACTGTACACTGAACTGTACATTGAAGGGGTTTGGTGGTACACTGTACTGTACCACCAAGCCCCTTCAAAAGCCTCACAGAGCAGGCTTCCCTGTCCCATTGGACAGGGGAGGTTCCAAGCATCAGCCTCTTGCTGAGCTCCCAGCAGGATGTGCTAGGCCTGACTGCAGTGTCTTAGTTCCCGTCCACAGGCCCCAGCTGCACCCCAGACCTGTCTAGGCCAGGTCGCCCTGCATCAGGTGAAGGAAAGGGTTTCTGAAGCCCTGGAGTCAGGGACCAATCACTGCCCTGACCCTGCCTCCCAGGGCAGATGGTGCTGCTCAGAAGTTCACTGTAGCACAGGGCTAGTTCCAAAGTCAGGACGATCCATGGGCCTAGTAGGAGAGGCCCTTCTGGCCTGGGGGTGCTTGGCTCCCCTCTCTGGCCCTCATACACAGGCAAACAGTTGATGTTGGGAGCTGGCCTCACAGCCTGGACAGGACAGAGACTACTCTTGCTCCTGGTGGGCAAAGGGCACAGATATTTGCCAGAATGTCACAGCAAGTCTTAACCACATGCAACAATCTGTGTTGCAAAGGGGAGGTACAGAGACATGGTGAGAGTCAGGTGGAGTTGGGGGATGTGGTTCTGGAAGAAGCCAGAAGAGCAGGAGAACATCATAGGACCTGCATGTCCTTCCTTCTCCATTTGGACACCTTGATCAGGCCTTACCAGAAACTACTCTTTCCCTGAGCTAGACAGTCATGTCCTACACCTGGTTACCCTCTTCTACCCTCTACTCTGCCAAAGATACCTCAAAAAAGAGCACCGTCCAAAGCTTAATGCAGTTCTCTGGGTGGTTCTGACCAAAACAGAGAGGACTACCTTCTCCCTTGTCCTGGAACTCTATCTCTATTAATGCCTCCGAGTACAATTTTACCTTAACACCTTAACATTCGTCCAAGTGCAATTGCAACTGGCAGAACCTCTCTGAACCAACCCTACTTACTTGTCTTGCCATTACCCAGGGCCCCTGCGCCCTGTGGCGTCCCTGCCGCCTCCAGACAGGGGCTGCTTTCCAATAAGCCAGCTCCCTCCTGCTGAGCTGGGCTTACCAAGAGACGATTGTGCTGGTTCCCAAGCTTATTTATGCCAGCCGAACCTGTCAAAATAATTATGTCATGTAATTAAATATTACTTAAAATGATGAAATGTGAAGGCAAAAGGAGAGAGAGTTGTTTTCTGCAAGAAATAAGTTGACTGCTTGGAAAACACTCCAAATAGGCATTTTGCTCTAAAAATTGCTATGCAATTTGTGTCAGAGAGATGACTGAGAATAGGGCGAAGACAAAGGAAAGAGGGTGCTGTGTACAGACCCTTCTTAGGGGATTCTAAGGTCTTCCTCCTTTTTAAAGAAACAGACACCAAAAGGAGTTCTCAAAACATGTTCTGGCCGCCCCGCCCACAGGGGCATCTGTTAAAACCACACATCTCCAACCCATCGGGACCACGACAGTCCACAGCTGTCAGGAGGGGTTCAGCAGCCTGTGTGCTGACAGGACCGTTCTCTGATGCCCACTCCAGTCTGAGAACGCTGCTGTGGGTAGAGCCACTTCTACAGGAGTCATTTGGGCAGGAAAAGGCCCCCAGGCCTCAAAGGCAGGGTGACCCCTAATGAGAAGACTCAAAGATCAATAAGTGAACACGTGTGTGCTCAGGAAGCCCTGTGTGGAAGGTGCACGTAGGTGACATTTGAGTGTCTCCTCCTCTACAGGCCTCACCTGTGTGACCACCCAGCCTCGGTCCAGCCAGGGCAGAGAAGGTCAGAGGATCTCCCAAAGGGATTTCTGCTGAGCCCATAGCACATTTAGGCCCCAAATGCCTCACCTGTTTAATCCCCGAGACTCTGCGGGGGTCAGACCCTAGGTTTCCCCATTGTTCAGAAGGAAAAAGGTGAGGCCGAGAGCCATTCGGTGTCTCACAGCCTGGCTCTGTGGGACCAAGGCTCAGTACCAGCCCTTGCTGCCCCTGGGCTGTACCTGTCTCCTTGCCTGCTGACTACCTGTGGATTTCCCAGCAGCTCTACCACGCCTGTGACGGGCCCGGCCTCTCTGTGCTGTGCTTCCTGCGCCATGACATCTTGGAGTACTTCAGCGTCTACGGGACAGCACTGAGCATGTGGGTCTCCCTAATGGGTGAGTGGCCACCTACACACCTATCCCATCCCTGAGAGCGCCTCCCCTCACCCAGAGCCCAGCTTAGTCCACAAGAAAGGATGCACTTCTAAACCTCACGCTCTTGAATTCATATCCTTTTTAAGTGACTGATCTGATGAATGCTTATTGTGAAAGAACAGCCATGGCACACAAAGGAAAGAGCCAGAGCTCTGGGAACTCCACTCTCAACTCTGGAACTCAGCCTCCCAGAATTTCCCCCAGGCTCACAAGGGTCACTTTCATCCGGAGTTCGAGGGAGGCGGTACACTTGCAAAGCCTCAACTTGATGCTGGGGGTGTGAATCAGTGGCAGAACACTTTCCTAGTGTGTGCAAGGCTTGGCTTCCATCCCAACACTGCAAAAATAAAGAAAAAAAAATCTCAGTTTTGGTCTCCTGGCAATGCAGGACAGGTGTCCCCATCACCTGCGCGCTCTCTACCTAGGGATGGGCTCTCGTGACTTGGCATCTACGTGCCAGTCTTCCAAGGGAATCCAGCCTTTCCCTCACATACCGGTCGTCATGGAAACAGGACTGTGAGCCTTACTCCAGCTGCCCTACCCCAAGGAACCAGCATCCTGCCTTTCCTGTACAACTGAGCAGATCTCAGACCTCTTAGTGACCAGGCAGGGCCTGGGGCCTGCTACCTGTGGGACACCCTAGTGGGCACCTAAGGGTGGGGGCACAGCCAGGAGTGGAGGGGGTGGCACTCACAGCTCCCGTGTCTCTTCCCGGGCCCCCAGCACTGGCTGACTTTGATGAACCCCAGAGATCAACGTTCGTGATGCTTGGCGTGCTGACCATTGCTGTGCGGACCTACCATGACCGCTGGGGCTACGGGGTGTACTCAGGCCCCATTGGCACGGCCGTCCTCATGATCGCTGTGAAGTGGGTACGTACTGTGTGCTCAGGGCATGGGGACCATGTAGCTAGTGACCCTCCCCTGACCCTGACTGCATCTCTGCTCCTCCTGCCCTCACAGGCAGGCAGGCTAGACACAGGAATTTGTGAAAACACCTACAAATGGCCACCAGTGCTCCTGTCCAGCTCTTGGCAGTCATCACTAGTGCTGGGCAAGGCTGAATCTCCTTCCCGCTCTGCCTCTCCCACCAGGTGGGTCCAAAGACACATAGATAATGCATTTAAGTTATTACCACTGACATGAGGAGGAGGAGGAAAGAGAAGGGCTGCTTAGAGATGCAGCACCAGTTTGGGAAGCAGCCTAGGGTAATCTGAAGAGACTTCCTGGAGGAAGTGGCCTTGGGCTTGGTTCTAAGGAGGGTAGGGATGATACGGCCTGTGCAGAGTTTCCAACCACAGCCCCTGGGTTGCAGCTGGCACCTGGTGCCCACACTGCCCTTTGCACTCAGACCCAGGCCTCCTGCCCACTTTGTTATATCCAGACCCTCTTGGCTGTGAGGCCTGGAACCTAGTCAAGCTGGCCAAGGTAAATGAGGGACACCCAGGATATCTTCTGGGACCCATCCCAGAGCAGGAAGGACCAGCAGGCCACAGCCTAGTGACTTTGCAAGCCTTAAGCAATCCAGGCCCCAAGTTCAACCCCTCTACTGCATTTTGACCCGAGGAGCACCTGGGATCTTGGGGTCCCCCTAAGTGCAGCACCAGCCACACTTCTGCTGCAGCCCTGAGATGGGCCAGATTCAGGGAGGCAAATCAGGAACAGGAAACTGGTCCCCAGCAAGCAAGAGGAGGAAGAGGAACTAGAAGGGTGGGGAGCACAGCAGAGCACCCCACCCATCCACAGCTGCAGGCAGGGCAGGTGACATCCGGAGGTAAGCTTTCAACTCACATCCACTCCTCTATGCACCAAGGGGGACAGAGCTCACTTAGTCACTTGATTGTTGGCAAGACTTAGGCACAGAGGGTCAACAACCCAACACAGAGCCCCAGCAGGGCAGTGGCCGTCAGATTTGACTTTTCCGGCAGGAGACGGGAGCCTGTTTCTCACTCCAACTTGGGGATGCAAGGCTGGCCCTGGACTGACATGGGAGGTCAGAACAGCCTTGGGGCAGGGATCCAGTTGGGGTCCAGTCGTTAATTAACACTCTGGAATGCATAAACACAGAAGCTCCTTCTGATAACCCTTCTTCTGTCCCGTCTGAGGGTTGTTCCTCTGCACTGTTGGCTGGGTCTGACTCTGGCTGGATTTTAATTAGCCAGGATACAATCCACTCCTTTGTGTCCCCACAGAGGGCCCAAAGGCTTCCGAGGCCCTTGGGCCAGGAGCAGGAGAGGTCGCTGCCTCCCTGCATCTGGGGAGCAAATCGAATTTGTGAATTGGAGGTGCAATTCAAGTTGGATTTCCAAGGACATTTGCTTCCTAGAATGTGGATAGATTCCCCTTTCAGGGCTCATCCTTTTTGTGGAGAGGTGTGGGAACAACTTTTGGGAGACAGAAGCTGAGCGATCTGGAGGACTGGGTTCCCAGGGGCAGGACCAAGCCCACCAGTATGACCTTGCCTGGGACAGACCCTCCCTCTCGGGGCCCCAGTGCTGCCACTGGGCAAGGATTTCCCAGATCACAGTCACCCACATCCAGGGTTGTGCCAGCTCTCCGTACTCACACTGCCTGCACCATGGTGGTGTTCAACTCCTGTCAGCAGTGATCAGTCCCAGAAAACTAGAAACAAGCTAGCCTGACCCAGTGTGAGGCTGTTTGCTGTCTCTGTGCACCCCACTCAGTGATGTGTGCAGTCAGAAGTCCTGCCCCATGCCCCAGGTATACACCTTAGTTATTGTGTGTGACAATGTATCCTGCTGAAATCAGAGGTATCCTCAGTTCCAAAACTTCTGCCCCAAGGATCTGAGTTTCCAGGCTAAGGACCTGCGGGAACCTCATCTTTTCTGTGTGCCCTCCCATCTTGCCAAGCATGGTTACGCACTGGAGCCTTGCTCTAGGCAATCAGTGACTGAGAAATCAAGGTTTACGTGCTTGATTAATAATATTAATCTAGTAATATTAAGACAGCTCCTTAACTGGTAACGCAAATGATGTTTCTCCATGAGCCAACTACAGACCAACGGGCCACCCCACGTGTGCTACTAACTGCCCCCCCCACGCCCGCCACCAGTGAAGCACACACGGCTAGGGGTTCCTAGTGCCGTGTCAATATCCTTTCATGGAACATAATTCCCCTCAAGGAGTTCCTCTAGCTGGGTAATGGAAATGCAAGGAGTGCCCTTGGGACCTCCCAAAGAGGCAAAGGGGAGGCCAGCTGCTGGGGGCAAATGGCCCAGAGGCTCCCATCTCCACTGGTCCTGTATCAAGGCCCAGGTCCAGCAGAACCTTCTGCACTGCCTGGGCATGTGGAGACTCATTTCCCACCTGAAGATGGCCGGCCAGGGAGAGTGGGGGAGGGGCGGCTATATCCAGCCAGCTAGGAAGAAGCCTTCCCCTTACTGTGCCCTAAGAGCTTTGCTGTTCTTCCTCTGTCCCTCAGCTGCAGAAGATGAAGGAGAAGAAGGGTCTGTACCCCGACAAGAGCGTCTATACCCAGCAGATAGGCCCCGGCCTCTGCTTCGGGGCACTGGCTCTGATGCTTCGCTTCTTCTTTGAGGTACCAGGCCTTGGGGGGGCAGGGGCTCCGCCTGCCTGAGCCCTATGGGGCATATGGCTGTGCTAGTGAGGACTGGGGCAGGGGGCTGTGCCCTCCCAGAGAGGATCCACTGTCATATCACACTCCTGCCTCCTTGCCCCCTCATGCTGTGTGTTGTCCATCCCTAGTGTCACCAGCATCACAGCCTATATGGACATGGGGGTCACAGAGAGGGGGAACAAGCCTTGCCTTCAGGCAGCTTGCCCCTGAGATGGTGTGCACAGCCTGGAAGGTGTTCCCAGGAGGGCAAGGAAGGTTTCCTTGGAGGAAAGAGGGAAGGAGGAAGGAAGGGAAGGGCGGAGAGGGAGAGAAGGAGGAAAGGAGGGAGGAGATGTCCCAGCCTCTGTCCTAGGCCTGGCAAGCAGCACAGGCCTTCAATGTAATAGGGGTTTGGTAGCAGGAAAGGCTGCCATGGCCACACATGAAGGAAGCCTCCCTGCGGAACCTGCAGTGCACCAGGACACAGTCAGAGACTCGGGGACCTGGAGGGCTCGGCTGGGTCTTAGAGAGAAGAGCTCTGGGGAGGGGCTGAGCACGGACTGACCCGCCCCCAACCCTACCCCACAGGATTGGGATTACACCTATGTCCACAGCTTCTACCACTGCGCCCTGGCCATGTCCTTTTTCCTGCTGCTGCCCAAGGTGAACAAGAAGGCTGGCAACGCGGGAGCCCCAGCCAAGTTGAACTTCCCCACCCTCTGCTGTGCTTGTGTCTGACCATGGCCCCACAGCTCCAAGCTCCCGCTCCCCCATCTGGTGGCAGGAGTACCGAGGTCTCCCCTGGGGTTCTTCCTGTCCTTCCTTACTGGGTATCCAGGAGAAATGGTCTCTTCTGCATGCTCTGCTAAATGCATCTTAGGAACCCTCTTACCCGTGTTTACAGAGTACTCAGCACTGTATTGAAAGAAAGGAGATTTTTCCTCGAGGGCCTCATGACCAACAGGTGGTTCAAAGTCTATACTCCCCATTCTTCTCTCTCCTCACTCATGGCCAGATGGGCCCAGAAGTCCTATCTCAGCAGCAGCCACGAAGAAGACCTCCCACCAACCAGGAGACCCATGCCTGCTGAGGGTCATCTGTTTTTTCTTGGAACCTGGCATCACAACTTCTGTCCCTTGCCCAGCTCTGAAAGCCCATTTAGGAAGCTGGGGCTGTGGGATCCAGATTTGCCCCAGGTCCCGGCCTGTCCCTTGCTCAGCCCCATCTCTCCAGCCCAGTCTTGGATCAGGCTGTTACAGTAATAATAACAGATCAAAAGTGCCCCAATTCATCAACATTACTATCTGCCAAATACTTTATACACATCCTGATTCTTAAAACAAGTCTGTAAGCTGAGCGTCATCATTCCTGTCCTACAAGGAGCTCCCGAGCTCAGGGAAAACATCTGGTTCCAGGCCCGATAGTGGTGGGTCCAGAGCTGTGCCTGCCACCGGCAGGGCACCAGTGCAGGAGGCGGGAGCACAGCCCTGGGCTTTGGCACTTGCAGCCCTGTGCCAGCCCCTCAGGAAAAGGTGGCTGGGTGCAAATCCTTGGGCCAAGGCTCCCTGGGCTGGGCCTCTGACATGCAGTGGGAGGTCCAGCCTGTGACTGTGATGGCCTGGGGGTGGTGGCAGCAGCAGCAGCTTCCAGACATCACCTCACAAGCCTGAACCTCTCCAGCACCCCTGACCACCCACCCCCCATTTCCCAGTGACCCAAAGCCCATCTGTCTGCAGGAAGTTACCTAAACCTGTCTGGGGCCTGTTTGGTTTCCAGATGGTGCTATTATGAAGAAGAAGCTCCCCACGTCCACACCCCACCAGCTGTGATTTGTCCTAATGTCACCTTCCACACACCCCAGGATCTGGCTCCACACCTGAGGTTGGGGACTAGGTGGCCTCCTCCACCTTCCCCTGCACTGGCTGATGCTTCAGCTGGCCTCCCTGATCTCCAGAACTCTCTGTGTCTTGGAGCCCTGGCCTGCTGTTGCCACTTCTGTCCTTCCCAGCCCTAGTGGCAGACACAGAAGTCATCCACAGGAACCAGCCCTTCTTTGTCCCCAGAGCCTTCACACAACAGAACAGTCCAGAGCACTCACAGGGTACCCCAAAGTGTTCACACCTGGCTGTCAGATCCCTCTCCAGCCCTGGGGCCAGGACTGAGGCACTGATCCCACTTAGCAGATGAGGAAACTAAGGCCTCACAGTTGGGGTGCTGAGGCCAGCCAGAAAGGGTGAAAAGGCATGTCCTGCCTGTCCCCATCATAGGATCAAGTACAGAGACACAGGGGGCCTCCTGCATCCAACCACTTGGCCCTGATGTGGGGAGGGACATGGCACAGCCTCAACTGGCTTCCAGTCACACATGTTTACACACAGGCACACACCACACAGACAGATGTGCACATTTTCATACACACACACCTTACATGCATACTTCATGAACATGTATACACCTTATGCACACACACCACATAGGCACACACACCATGAAGAGTCAGGGCATTCTGGACCCTAGTCTAGTCTTTCCTCTGGCCCATCTCCCACTTCTGGAGGGCACACTTTTAGTCAGTGCTGGGCAGGAGGTGAGAGGCAGAGGCAGAACCAGATCAGGTGGGAAGGCTGGAACCCATCAAGAAGCAGGTGTCTACTGCAGGGCGACCCTGGCTCACCACCTCCTTGCCCTCCTCCCTCCAATCCCCCCATCCTGCCTCTGCCCCCAGCCTCCAGCTCTGCAGGGACTGGTAGAAAATTGAAGGCAGTACGACTGCCTAGCCCTGAGGGCCACACCAGCAGGCTCTCCACTGTGGCGGCACTGATTTATGAAGACCGTCTGGGCACCCAGCCAAGTCTGTAAGTCACGGACAATTAGGAGACGTACTCCAGCCCTCAGCCCCAGCCACTGTGGCCTGCGCCTGGCCTCTCAGGCTCCATACTCAGACCCACACTCCTAAGCAGCTTGGCTCCATTGGCTACCCCTTGCAGGCCTAGGGCACAGTCCAGACTCCAGCTCACAGATGAGGGATGTTGGCATCTTCGGGTAGTGGCTGCCAAGCTGATGACAGTGCCCAGGACCTCTCCAGCTGTGGCCTCTGGTAGCTTCAGTCACCAAGACCCATTTTGTCATCTTGAGGTTCTAACCCAGCTGGAGGCATGGCTCAAAGCAGTCAAGCACCTGCTTAGCAAGTGTGAGGTCCTGAGTTCAAACCCCAGCACTGCCAAAAAAAAAAAAAAATGTGAATTGGGACTTTAGCCAGTGTCAGGTAGGGGAGGACAGGAAAGGAGGGACCACCCAGTTCTGAGTGTCCCTACAAGTTCCAGAGTGGTCCCGTTGGACAGAGCTTGCTCTAATGGTCCAGGGGCATGGAGCTGTCACATGTGGCATCTCCTGGCCCTTCAAGGGACACCTGAGCCTTCGAAAAGTGGTTATTGCAGAAGAGGAGCTGAATCTTTATTCCATTTAAGCAGCTGAACTTTGAATTGCCATGCATAGTGTAGCGGGTGAGGACCAGGCTGTGCGGGCCTCTGAAGCTGCAGTGGGATGATTGGTAGCACGAGCCATTTTCGTGCAGTGCCTGGGAAGTGAAGTTGAGGCGCAGAGCTCGCACCTTGTGAGGAGTTTTAAGTGCAGGAGATGGGAAACAGTGCTGACAAAAGACAGCAGGCTTCCCCAGACAAAAGAGGAGGCAAATTTGTGTTCAAAAGCACAGCTTAAAAAGGTGCTTTCTTGTGTACACATCCTGGCCTTGAAGAGTAGGCAAGTCTTGTCCCAAGAGCTGCTGTGTTTTCTATGTGTGATCACCCTCGCCTTGTGACAGGATGGCCCCGTAGCAGCTAAGAGACCACATGCAAGAGAAGGTGGAAGAAAACACACACTATGATTTAAAGGTAACAGGTCCTGAGCGAAGGTTTCAGGAACTGCACCTGCCCTTTTTCCCCACAGGGCTCCCTGTCTCACACATGCTTGAGTGAGACACACTTACTAAAAAATGTTCTGTTGTATATCTGAAGTTCGAATAGAACCCTGTACCCTGTATTTTGTCCACAGCCCTGCCCAAGTGGCTAGTGACTCTTGTACAGTGCCTGGGGACAGCCACCTGGGCATTCGGGCTTAGGAAATCCTGATTAAACCAAGGGGAAGAAGCTAGGGGCTACATTGGCTGTGGCTTCCCTGCCAGGACATGGTTGGCCAGAGGATGTGGTCCTTCTCCCAGCTGGGTCATTTCTAACTCTGGGGGATGAATGCGTGCAGATCCACTATGGCCTCCCTGGACCTAAGCCTGGCCTCCATGAAGCAGCAGCCCAGGCCTCACCCATCCCAGCATCCAGGGTCAGGGCACCTTGGCCCCAGCCCTGTCTGGACCACACATGCACCCTATGTGGGGCACATACACACCCTCACACACCCCAGACCAGCATACACCCTTGGAGGCCAACTTAGGGTTGGGTGTGGCAAGCCTCACGCAGAGCGGTATTCTAAACACAACCACGTAGACAAAACAGTGAATTGTAAGGCCGTCTCCACCTCCCCTAGCTAGGGCAAGGCTGTCAGGGAGCATTGGGCCCTGGCACACGAGGAGGTGTTTTCGTCTGAGGGCAGACTGCGTGCTGCGGCCTCTGTCGTGTCTGCTACTGAAATTTCCTGTCTGTTATTCTCTTCTCCAGGAAGAGATCTGAAACCCAAAACTTTTATTGCCCCTTTTAAAAGGCTTTACAGCTCCCCACCGACTTCATAGACTGTCCTGCTTCGTGGAGCTGGGATTGTAGTTATGGGCAGTGTGCTGGCTGCCCCGTCGGGCAGGCTGCCGCAGGGTCTTGGCAGGGGAGGACTCAGAGGAAGGAAGAGGAGGAGTGGGGAGGAGAGGGTGGCCATGGGCGTCTGTGGGAGGCTGGAAACCCAGGTGCACATCTCACCAGTGGATGAGCTGGTTAGAGGTTGCAGAGGGCAGGTAAACCCAGGACTCAGCTGCCACCTGCCCACCCCCCTGATGGCTGGGTGACCTCGACTCCTCCCTCCCACCCCCGTGCCCTGTTTCCTCACCTTTGAATGGGAACCATGGCCTCTCCCCATAGTCCCCTAGGGTGAATTAAGTCAGAGACTGGCTGGATTGGAAAAGCATTAGGAAAGTAAGACTACCGAAAGAGGTGGAGAAGATGGAAGAAAAGGTCAGGAAACAGGCTTAGAACTACCCAGACCTGGCTTCCAAATCTCCCTCTACTACCTGAGGCGAGCTCCATAATCCTCTCTGCCTCCGGTTTCCCCATTTGTGATGGTGCCCAACTCATGTAAATGTTATCAAGGCTAACTGAGACAAAACCCTCAGCACAATATTATTTTAATATCTTTTCATCGGCAATCATTTTCATGGTCAGGGGAAAGAAAAGGGATTTCTAAGCCTTTAGTGAGGATCCCTACCACCACAATTAAGACACCAAATACTCCCACTGCCAAGGAAACAAAATGCTTCAAACCAAGTGACCAAGAATTATGGATTAAGGGAGCAAGCCAGGAAGGCTGCCTGCAAGAGGCAGGTTTGAAACTAACATGAGAAAAGCAAAGTAGACTGACCAAACTGTGCAAGTCTGACTCTTGGGGCCACACAAGGGAGAGTGGATAGGTTGATCCTGAGGCTCTGAGGGTTTTAGGGGAGAGACCAACAAGAGTAGTGGAATGAGACCAGGGAAGGCCATGCAAGAGGAAGGCTGCTAGGGCAGAGAAGGGAGGCCTAGGAAGCAGGT